AATGATGCATTAATTGTAGCAATCATCAGGGCATCTCCAAATTTAAGACATCTAGAGATTGGTAGTAATGATATTGGCGATAAGGTTACTGAAGCGCTGGCTCATACATGTCATAAATTAGAATATCTCGATCTAAGTTGCTGTTCATTTGTTAGCAAACCATCAATTTGTAATGTTATTCATTCCTGCCTGAAACTCCAGCATCTCAACCTTAGCTTTTGTAAAATTTTTAATATAACTATTAAAGAAATTGCTCATTCATGTCTCCGTTTAAAATTTCTAGATTTGGAAAAGTGTAAAAATATTAGCAAAAAAAACATAGATTAGTTAAATCCAAATATTTACATAGAAAATTTTGATGAAGATTACTACTGTTTTGATTCAGAATCTTCTAGCTCTGAAACCAAATCAAAGTCCGAATCATCTAGTTCTGAGTCAGAGGATGAAGTTATCTATTATAATAATCTTCCTCATCTGATAATTATGGACTCACCCGATAGCCCGAATAATTTTATTAGCACATTTAGTGATTTTCTTAGACAGAATGGTGGTGCTAATAATAATTTTATTTCTGCATTTCTCAATCAGGAATTAGCACAATGCTTTTTGGCCGAGCAATGGTACTCTACCGATCTAACTAATCCAACACTCTGGAGTGGTGAATAGTTATTACATCAACCCATAATATAGCTCATCAGCTTGAAAGATTTTTTGATCCACAATGCATATACTCCAGAACACAAAAAATCGTGATATTAATTCCGCAATGTATGTACTCTGGTGCACAAAAAATCAAGACGCGTTTGATATTAATTCCGCAATCAATGAGTAATTAATCCGTCAACTTTTTTTTCCTGAAGGTTCTGGCATAATACACATATTATGAAATTTTAAGTTAGCATTATGCAAATTAACCCGACACTCTTGAGAAAATGAGAATCTTGATCTACCAATTTACAGACCCCGATCCTGTGAAATGTAATGGGGAACCAAAGGTACCACCATTCTATATAATAAACCAAAATTCCATCTTTGGACCATTAGTAGATTTGTATAGAGTACGAATAAGAGTTTAAAACAACATGTGATTTATGAAAGTAAACGTGAGCGATCTTCAAGATCTTGTGCAATTTTAGCAATAAACAGTATATTTCTTGGTGACAACTTATCTTTATTATTAGACAATATAGTTATGGAAAAGGGTCCTGACAGACCAAGCGACGTAATTCTGACTTCATCAAATTAAATCGGGTTAAATCCCTATTTCAATATGCAGTAAGATAAGCCTATTATTAATAAAAAATATATTATTATTCATTACTTGAATTATTTCTTCTAAGAAGCTCTAGTTATTATGAGTGAATATGTTTAGAAAGTATAAAAACTCTATATTTTTTACCCTTTCCTGTAAATTACATCTCAAAAATAATAATGGAATTGGAAAATCTAATAACACCCCACTACAGACTCCATTAAATATTGAAAAAGAAATATTTATGCCTCAAGGAGAACCTGAAATGTGTTTATTGTGTAATGAACCCGAACTATTATTTGAACCTAATAGAGCTAACTTGGAACCAATCACGATATTGACCTGTTTTTATAGCTTCCATCTTAGATGTATTATTATTTTTTTAAAAAAAGATACAACATGTCCTCAATGCCAACAACCTATTTATCTTAAAGATGATAATAATACACAGATACATTTAAAAAAAGAAGAATACATAGTTGAAAAACTTTTTAAATACTTAGCTAAAGAACCGCAAGACTTTGGTCCATCATCTAAGAACATGGTTATAGAAACAGAGAATTCTACATCTTCAGAAATAGTATTCGTTAAAATACATAACAAAATAATTCAGGCTGAAAAAATTCTTGAAGAAAAAACATATGAAGTGTCCTGTGCAAAATATGAAGTTCTCGATTCTTACTATCTTCTTGGGAAAGCATTAGTAAAAAAACTAGCTGATTTTTTAACTAATCATCCTCTAACTGCTCGAACCTTGCTTAATGTAGAAATTAAACGTCAATTTCCCTTTGATATGTCTCATAATGTCTTTAACAAGAAGAAACGTTCCACTATAAATATTTATAAGATATTCAGTACAGAAGGTTTAGGAAAAGATAATATCAAGCGAATTAGAAAATTTACCCCATCAGCTTTTGGAAGATTTAATGATAAAGAAATGAAAGTTATTCAAGAAAGAGTTAGAACTACTTTTTCACAACCGAATAAGCTTGAAAACCAATTGGATAATTTAGATCTAAATGAGGAGAGAGACCCAATGCTAACTGATTGAATAAAGCATGACTAGTGCTAAATGTATATTTACATAGTGATAGATTTAATAAATGATCTGCCTTATTTTTTAACCTTTGGATATGACCCAAAATTTAACAAATCATGTGTTTAGTGCAGTAATATATTCCACCTGATACTAAGCTATGGGAGAGTAGTATCATATGTTTAGTGATGTAGCCAGAGCCTCTAGAAAATTTCGAAAAGATTAGAAAACAATAAATCGCAATTTTTACTGGATATCGCATTATAAAACAATTTTATTCTTTTTTCATGCATGTGAGGTTACATAGTAAAAATCTGCAAATTTAATTGATTAACTATTTTTGTCTACCAATTACGTTTGCGTATTTGCATGTAACTTCACGTACAGAAAGAAGTACATTTATATTTTCTGTACGTAAAAATTTAATCGTATAATAGATAACTTATGATTTTGAAAGTTTA